CATGACTGCATATCGCTTAAGACTATACATTTTTCCGAGTACCGATTTCTATGGTATTTGATTTTATTCTCATATAATTTTAGATACACGTTGTGACCCTTAGTATTTTAATCTTGCCCCGGGTTGGATTTTATCCTGCGGGCGTGCTTGTATATATTGTTGATATCTCCAGGTTTTAGTATAGGCATGGATATATCCGTACGTAAACATAAAATACACTTCTCATTACAATCGGAGCGACTGTACAATATCAGCTTGCCACGGTCGACGGCTGTCCTAGAAAAACACCATTTCTACACAGGTGCCCACACGTAACAACGCGGACGAACATTTCGAACGTTGCCGAGGCATACGATACGTGTTGAACGTATTGTATTAAACGGGTTTAGGTTTCACGGATTTTTTTTTTTATTGGGCATTTGGACGATTACGTTTTAAACTGAACCAGGTTCATTAAATTGTGTTATTCGTTTTATTTATTTATTTTTTTTTTTTTTTTTGATTAAAAAATTACCTGATCGGCCGACCGCCACCCACTCGCGTGTTGCGCTTATAAAACGTATCACACTTGACGGACGAAAACGATACTCTTATTTTTATGCCTGTATTGTAATATTTCAATATATGTACACACTTTTGTTTGTTTACACCGAGCGTTAAACTGCTGTTTTGTTTTGTGTTCCTAATTCAATCACGTCCGAACATTCGATGAACGGAAAACAAAGTCACCGATCGAAAAATCGTCCAAAAAAAAAAAAAAAATCAATCGATTTCATAGGATTATTACCATACCATTATTACCACACCATACATGTGTGGCACAAAAATCACACAAATAGCATGAGTCATAATCGGTATTATAATAATATACCGTTTTCATAATTTATTATGCGTTTGACCTAAAACGTTTTAAAATAAACATAACGGTACCACATCGCCCGGTTTAAATTGTATGTTGAACCGTTCGATTAATTTATTAATGCCGTTAGGATGTAATATTATAACATACATTATGTATTTATAATTATCTGGAAATACTATTGAATCATTTTTGATGTAACTGTTATTGTTGTCTAAAATAGACATTCCTGATTTTTGGTGCTCTGTATATTTTTTAGAAACATAAGGGATCCGCAAACATAAAAATTTGAGAACCACTGGTGTAAAATATAAATGTACTTACATTCTATAGCAGTGGTCTTCAACCGGTGGGTCGCGTAAGCTTTAAAATTGGGTCCTGATAAGTCTTCTGTTTGAAATGTAAAAAATGCATAACTATGTATATTGTATAATATATATGATATATATGATATCGGATAAAAAATGTTCAAATAAACCCGAAACCGTACTTTTTTACTATTTTATACTTGCAGAAGATAAGAAATAACACTTTTTTCTCGTACACTCATACTTAATTAAAAAAAAAAACCTCGACCAATATGCGACACATGTCACTAATCATTAACTTTTGAACACACGATGAAGGAGTATACGCAATGTAACTCAATACGCACCGACCTGAACATAACGTCCAACATAGTTAAAGTACTTGGCGAAAACCAAACTCTGAAAATTATCACATTCTTAAGCATCACAAATATTATTGGTAAATCTTAATTTTAAACCTAACACATGTATTATGTAACACATAATAGCTAATAACCTTTGCTGTTGAAGCATTAATTTTCAAATAAAAAAAAAAAAGAATGGACAATTAAATGAAGTAATGATATAGCGATAGCCCGACTTAATCCATAAAACTCATTTACATTTTATTATGAGAGGGAAAGCGATGGGGTACACTTGTACGACAACATTTGACAAATCTATTTAAAAAAATATGAATAATTTACGATTATGTCACAAGGCGTCTAAAATTAAACGCGAACCAATTCGGCTCAACTTAATAAATACCTTTTTTTTAAACGGCAAACACAATTCGGCATTGTGGGCTCGAGAACCAATTCAATACCAGCCGGGAAAATATCTTGGCGCGCGTCAACCACTGTAATACCTGTATATTGTTAAAACCGTGGCGGTTATCGAGGTTATTATTATTTTTTACTATTTTAATTGTATATAATGTCCTCGATGCCCATCCTATCTCAAAGAATCGATTCATTCCGTGCCCTGCTCACGAAGGGGCACTTTCGGTCGACAGTGGGGTGTGTTATTACATACGATGTGACACCCTCTCCCCCCTAAATCGATTAACAATAATAGTAGATGATACACAGCTCGGAAACCTGTCGGTTTTGGTTGTTAGCAATAAATAATCATAAATAATAATAATGTATTATATCAGTACACCACGTTATTACGGCACACAGTTTTAAGTGATTTACGTTTGCGGAAGAAACCAGTGACCGATAGCATCGATTCACGATCATCTCCGTATACCAATTAATTTCGTCCGTTTTTAATTAGTTTAGCAAATATAATACGAGCATACTGATATCGAGTATTGGAAGGGAAAAAAAAAAATTGATATCAACTAAGATTTTCTTACTCCGGTCACCAATAATCTATAACCTTGTTTACTGGTACAGCTAATGTATAAGGAAACCGATAACAACTGATTTTATTACCGATCAATAAACTGTAGTGATAATCTTTTTAAAATTAAATTTCTTTGGGAATTAGATCAAGGTAAATGGAATAATAGCTTATAGTAACGGCTTTGTTCATTTTACCGCAACATTATTAATTTTTATTACGCGCTTTCATTAGGAAAATTAAAAATAAATATTTTAACAGCTTAGAATTTCAGGTGCATGTCAGTAGCGTAATTGGAATAATTAAGAGGGGGAGCAAAATATCACGGATATAAATACCTATATGTACTATTATTTTTTTTTTTTTTTTTAGAAATAGAATCCATTTATTACATAAATATAAAAATTACATAATAAACAAAGATATTTAAATATATTAAATTATGTTGTTTGTTAAAGTTTATAGCCATAAACGTGATGAAAACATCCAAAACGAAAAACTCTAAGAGGAGGTGATCTACCCAGCCCCCTCAACAACACCAATGGTCAAGGGCGTATTTGGGGAGAGGTGAAGGGGGCATTTACCTCCTCCCGATGGCTCGTATTTTTTTTTGGAATATAATTCATTGATTTATTTAAAAAATGTAATGTATAAATAATTAAGAATATAAATTACTAGTCTATCATTATAATATGTTATCATTATAACAGGAACATGAGCTGTAGGTAATGAACTGTGAATTATTTTTAAGTTTGTATTAAAGAAAAATTAGTTTTGCTCCCCCCCATGGCCCCAACTCAAATACGCTCTTGATAATGGTATAAGTCGTACACACATGTTTCTAGGTCTTACTATCCAATAACTTTTGAATTGTTAACAGTACAAATATATTACATTTAGAAATATATAATTAACTTGACATGTTTGCTGTTTAGACAAATCTAAAAATAAACGTAATGACGTAAGAAGACCGCACACATGAAAAAATCCCGTACTGTGGACCGTAGAGCGATCCGTCAAAAAATACGACAAAAAAAATCCCTTTTATTCGTGATGGAGCTGTCAAAAGAAAAGGAAGCCAAACTGGCACCACAAAAAACATATAATGCAACCGAAAAGAAAACACTCGGTGACCAAAACACACATCTTTCAGACACCGACAACATTACCAACGGCTGCATGCGTGCTGGTGTGAATATCGGAATGGCAACTTGACGAATCAGCTATCCGTGATATTGTTTTGTATTGCAACGTCACTAGGCCGACCATGTTTGGGAACAATTTGACTGGCATGAACATGTATACTATCAAAATTTTATTCCTAACATTGCCTGCTTGGGTGTTCCAAAATAAAATAATTGAAAAACTGGCATTCGACGTTATTATCAGTAAATAAATCAATACATCTTTAGTAAAAAATGTCTGTGGCCCACAAATATTTTTAAAACTATTATATGACTTTTTCCAAAATCCAGAAATGATAACCGCTACTCTAATGACCTATGCAGACGGGAAGCACTTACATTACAACATTATTACTTGGTACAAGTATTTCGCCCCCAACGAGTTATTTTGAACGATTACGAAGTTTTTTTTTAAGTAAGTGTTTTTCGTCAATTTTTTTTCAGTCTTTGAAAAAAATAAACACTTGCGACGAAGTTATTCATCCGTTTAATCGTTTATACGAATAAAAACTGTGTCAAACACACCATAACGCGGAGGTATGATCGACCCTTTGCTGTAGTTGGCATGTAAGCCTTATCAACTGTCGGATTGAAAAAAATCAACCCCTCGGGTCATAGGTAAACAAGCTAAACGCGCACGTGTCGGAAACTCCCAAAAATAATGTGTGTTATTTTCGCCGTTAATAATAGAAATAAAAACAATAATAACAGGCTAATAATTCGCAAAAACGTGTGTTGTCCCATTCTCTATCTCTGGGTGAGTAAGAGGGAGTGGATTTCTAGGTTATTTCCTTCGCCCCATCCCTGTCAACAAGTTTGAAGTTGTGGTGGTCGTAAATATTATTATAACAACACGTCGGATGCCGCTGGGAAATGTGTATTTTGTTTTCACGATGAATAAATCAATGAATCGTACAACAAAGGTCGTTTATTCCGTGAACGCCAGACGTGAGGGGAAAATAAAAAACCGTAACAACACTGGTTCGAGATGCGCCGACTGAGTACAACATGTAGGCAACCCTAGAACCAAACACGTCGATAAATAGTCATTTGCAAAGTGTTCGAGTGAAAGCTTGATGTTAAAAATACTTTTTTGATTGTCTACCACGGGATCCTTGAGCATCCGGCGAAGTATTTGTATTTCAAAAACGAATTTTCAATACTGAACATTTATTTGATTTGAACACATTCGATCAAATGTTTCATATACCTGTACAGTAATTATCTTTGCATACAATTAATGACAAAACGTAGTTGACAAAATAAATTAATGCATAAGAATATGATCATACATTAAAATAATAAATAACTGATTTATACATCGATTACCATTGTATTTTAAACTATTATACAATATTACTTCGGTGCACATGGAATGAGTCCCATAAACCAATATGGAAATGTATAAAGTACTAAATCCAGGTACTAATACTATTGTAACAAAAATTCTGCAACATACAACCATAACCACATTAGATCATTTTACATTATATTATTTATTTAATAAAATGTTATATTTTATTATTTTTCTAACATTTTAGTAATGAAAAATATACTAAATTCAACTGCAGATTATAGTATTTTGAATCGTTCGCATGATAAAGGTATTGTATTTGGTTTTGTATATTGTGTTAATATTATTAAGACATTAAAATATTACTGAAGTAAATTATAATAATTTGTAAAATAAACATGCATCGAAGTAATAAGATGAAAAAAATTGTAAAAAATTTAAAACAAAACTGTTGTGAATTCAAGTTCAACAATGATAAAATATGAGCACTGAATACATTTTTTCCAAATACAAGTTTTTCACAGTACGCTGTTCTTTTAAGATTTAATTACGTTCTAGAAAGAGTATAGAGCTTAATTAATACCAACATTAATAATTATATAGTCTCACAAGATATACATTACACACAAATAACATAAATAACACATATTATATTAATGAATACATACTTCAAAATGTTTAATTTTCTCATTTGTAAATAATAATAATAATAACAAATTAAATTTTTAAAACAATATAGCTTTTATAGATTAATACTATAAACAATGGATATTTACTACTACTATTCCCTACACAAAAATAAAATATAGATTTGATAATAGACTTCAGGATTGCTTAATTTTTAAATCTATTGCAAAGCATACACAACCAAAAGTACATTTCATAAATATTGTAAGTACACATGTATTTAAAAATATGAGACATACTTATAATAAACAACTATTTTATTTAAAATAGATCATCTTATAATTTAATTTATATCATCTAAAAAAATAAGTCCATACATTCTGAAATATGTAAGCAGTGGAACTGGACTGGATAAAGTAGAACTTATAAAAAATTAAGTTCACTCATTATGAGTATTATTACAAATACTCATAAAAAAGTTTATAAACAGTCTTAATTACATTACTTTATTTTAAATGAACGACTAAGAGCTAACATCATAATTGAGTAGTGTGTCGTACATGATTTACCAGTAATCCCAAATTGAAAAACACGTATAATTTTTTTACCTATATACTTTTACTTGATCGATAAACATGTATGATACAGTCTGATACACACTTTTAAAATCCAATTAATGCGATAAGATAAAAACAATTACCTAAATAGAGAACTGAGAATATACAGAGAATTTTATTTAGTTGCCATTTCGATGTACCGCTATTTAAATGTTTTGCAAGTTATTTATTTACGCGCAGTTTGGTTTTAATTTTTGATATTTAAAAATTAATTCAAGTGATGGTCATATTTATTGAAGTATTATTTTTAACGAAAAAACATTTGTAAATTATTTAAAACAATTGGTTGTTACCTTCAAATTAAGATAGCATTTTTACATGCAATAAAGCAAAAGAGAATGTCAATTGTGGTGGAAATCTTAAAGATACTTCCAGAACAAGCAAAAAAATAAAATCAGCTAAAACATTTAAATTAAAATTTAAGTTACATTAAGTATTTGTATATATTGCCTTCAAAATGATCTTTTAGAACGCCGATTTTTCATAGATGAAGAAAGTGAAAGAATAACACTTTTGCCAATCAGTGTTCGATTGATTTGAAGGTCCAGTGCAGAATTTTGCGGGGCCCTTTACACATTTATTTTATTGTTCCTCGTATATAATTTTATAAATTCTAAGGTCTTTGGTACTGTTTTGATTTTCGTTAATAACAACAATAAATAACCCTTTTCCGGTGACAATATTATTATGAGATTATTTATAGACAAAATTATATTCGTGATAAATTGTATGTGAGGCCCCCACACAAACGTATGTCCCGGTGCGACCGTGCACTGTTCGTCCCTTCATAGAGTCGGAACTGTTGTCATTTATTGAAAGAAAAGTTGAACCGAGAATGACAGTCCACAACTACCAGTAGAGAGTATACTTAATGTTTGCTCATCAAGCGGCAAATCACGGAGAAAATTTCATTGATTCACGTATAGGAACTCATACATTAACTAGAGAAAGTATTAAGCGTATAGTAAAAAAAATATATATAAAATATAAAAGATTCTTCACTTGAAAGTTAAGAGAAGAATGGTGGCTATCAATATATTTATCCTTAGATATTATATTCGATAATTTTTTAACCGATAAAAAAACAATATTTTTAGTTTGAAAAATAAAAGTAAAAATAGTAAAAATAAAAGAAACATTAAACAGCGTAATTCAATTTTATGTTTGGGTAGATCACGTACTGCTAAGAAACTTGTTTGGTAGATCATGTACGACATTACTACCCATAATTGTTAGAGTAATAAATTGTATAAAATAATAGTAGAGAGCATTTAAAATAAATAAAAATATAAAAATCAACAATTCAAAAATTCAATTTAAAAAATTATAATACAAAGTATGTGGAACGGTTGAACATACATTATAAATATTAGGCCATTTCAATTTTGTTGTTTACAGTAACAATACTTATTAAGTTGTGGTTGAGATTTTCCAATGCACCAACCTTGGTTACCATATTTATTAATTCTGCTTATATCTTTTTCCTGTAACATTTAAACAAGTATTATATTTTTTTTATGAAACTTTAAAAAATAGTTAATTGCGAAAAAGTAACAACATAAAACTAAAATATTCCAATAAGAATAATTGTTGAGTTATATGAAACATTGCCAAATAAAGTACTGCATAATAACTCACATAAACAATATACTGGTTGGTATTACTGTTATATTGACAAGAAAATTCGAAAATGGCATTTGCTGGCCAAGTAATCACTTTGAGTTGCAAATAGATTTTAGTGACTTGAGTATTGGATGACATATCTGGTACAAATCCGTCGGTGTCTGCAGCCGCATGGAATTTCAGCAATCCTTCATTAGGAGCCATTTTAGTGGCCCATTCTATCTTCTTAATTTTCATGGAAGCACAGAGATTAGTGTACTGTGCATTATACCTTCAAAATAAAAATAAAATTCTCTCACAGTCATAAATACAAATTATTTGTTTATATTTTTAATCATTAATAAACCAACTGTGTCAATGTTAAAATATTGTATTTCAAAGCCGTACATTTAATAAGAACAAATAATTTATTACATTTAAAGGATATATACATAGTATATAAAAAATTAACAATATTTTTAAAACCGGTAATATTATAAATAAAATATTTAACCGAAAAATTTAATGTTTTGATTTAAATAATAACTCGATAATAAAGTCCACAAAAATGTAATTCCATTTACGAATCACAAATATTATTTTTAACTGAAAAATAAATATAATGCCACAAATAACAATTAAAGTACGTAAATAAAAATAAAAGTATGGAATTCATAATAACATTCATAAAAAATGTTTGGCAAGAGTATATTTTTAACTAAATGTAAAAAATATGTCATCGTTTAACATCTTAGATTATCCCTACCACTATTTAGTATACAAGGTTATATTTATAGTTTTCGTAAGAAAATTAAATGTTAAAAATAAATATATTTAGATGCACTGATCAAAATCGTTCAATATATTTATAGGTCGTAGCATAAAAAATACCATGAACCCATCTGCTATCCCGTGAAAACACAAATAGTTACAACATTTTCCACCTAGAATAGAAACCAATAAACGAAGACAAATTTAAAGCTGTAGATTTTAGTTAAAAGTAAAACCCTATAAAATTAAGACTAAGTACTTAAGTATTTATAATACAATTTTTCTCACCTGTTGAGGAAATGTACAAAATATGCGGCCGCTTCAACAGCCAATGAACTCTTCACATTGATTGGTTGCCACTTAAGACAAGCGCACCAGTGAGGTTCGATGTAAGCATCTCTACACGTTCTCTCCAACGGTACCTTCAAACGAAGGTGTCAAGTTAACATTATGAAACATAAAATACGTAAAATACGTAACTTCCTGGACAGTAAACATTATATGGAAAATAATAAATTATATGAATGCATAAGTTGTATAATACATAAATATATTAAACAAATATTCATGAATACATATATACGTGAATACATACATTAAATTCACGTATATAAAGTATACGTGAATACAAATTTTTCATTCATGTATTCATACGTTGAATTAATTCACGTTTTCAATCGATACCTCTAGTAAATATGCACAAAGCAATTTTTCAACTTCAACTATTTGAACACTCATAAAATATATTCAAATAAAACGCGTCAGCTGGTAAAAAGATATATATTACCAATCATATTTTGTATAATACCATTTATAATGTTCATTTACAAAAAAGTTCAGCTAACCTTACCCGACTCCCACTGATGCATTAACTATCGGGAACACGCCCTTACTAACTAGTATATACACATCGATCAGCAAAAATGTTTTCATTTCCTATTCATTTATAGAGAAAGAGCAATTATTTTTTCACATATTCTAATGACCAATACTGCCCATCTGGGGTACAATGAAAGTTTTGCCGGAATGCAGCATTGAAAACAATCACACACTCATTCACAACTATTCCGCTGATGCTAATATTATGATAAATCATACCTCGTTGAATAGCGATATGGAACGTTTGTTGACGTCGTTAGCCTTTGGCCCATCTCTGTGCAAAACGCTCATCAAAGTAGAGTAGATGTCAAATGGGGTAGTCAACCGTTTGGTGTTGTTCCGCATATTCGATGCCATTCTGGGGTACTTTCTTTCGAACCACTTGGGCAGCAAGAAAGAGAAGAATGGCATCCGTTCTTCCAGTTTACCCTGTTGCGTATCGCGCACCGAAGCAAACCTAAAGGACACCGAATCTAGGTAATAAGTATTATATATACAGATACACGTCTATCTCGTATCATCATATCAATTGTTTTACCTCTGACCATGGTCACTCATGAGGACCAACATAGTATTGTTCAGGTAACCGGATTTCTGGAACCATTCCAGCCATTCGACTAGATCATTTTCCGCGACAGCCACTTTGTTCGCGTAGTCGTGCGATAATTCCCCATGGAACGCGAACATGAACTTTGGTTTATCTTCATACACCCGGAACATGTCTTTGATGTAATTTAACATTATCTAAAACAATATATTAAACAAAAATATTTTTTGTAAATATCTACTATAACTATGTTGTATAAACTAATTGTATAATTTAATAATTTGATTTTTTACCTACACTGTAAATTTGTTTATTTAAACATAGTAAATTTACTAGTTTCCCAATGATATCTGATATACTTATGTTCAAAATTAAAATCTATATACTTTTAATATAAACCTTTAAATGATTTAATGTCAGAAATACTTTGAAACAATAAAAATGAAAAAACAAAAATATTAAATTACAGCTGAAACGAGAAAAATGTATTGAACTAACGATAATTGTATTCCTTTTTTAATGTATTATTTGCGACAAATCATAGCATTTCATGCAAAATGTATTAAAGAATGAGTACACATAGTTTAATCAATTTTTGATTTTTAAGTCCTTATCAAAATAATTATAATTTTTAAGAATTAAAATGTTAATAAAATGGGTAAGAAAACTATCGTTTTCCCTTAACCGTTTTTCGGATGCAACGTTTGTAATATTACAGTCTAAAATAATACATCTAATTGAAATAAGAAAAATCCTACAGTTTAACATTCGATCCTGATAACTCATATTTTAAGATTCTAAGCGAGGTGATGATATTGATTTTTACTGTGAAAAATATGAAAACATTATAAATGGTTTTCATCACTTAGTCTTGAATAAAACTAATAAATAATTAAAATTAAAAGTGTTCTTTCATGATTAAATTATGATGTAAATAATAACCGGCTATCTTCTATATAGAGGTTGAATCAATATTATTAGCCTAATTATAATACCTGGTGTCTGGGCAGCGAACCATAACAAAAGGGCTTTTGTTGGTTAAACATTGGTGACGCATCTACGTAGTATGTCCGTAAATAATGATCGGTCGGTTGTTGATCAAATCCCTTCAGCCTGTATGTAAAAGTTCCCACATCAGCAACATCTTCAGCAAAACCTGTAATTCAATAATTATATGTTTTCAAAGAAATAAAAAGGTATGCTACAGTCAAATTCGATATAAATCATCCTATGTTTGAATTTAAATTCTATGTTCAATGTTATAAATGCTCCCACTGTACAATTAATCATCGCTTCGATGCTGTAGCAATTATTATTTCATGATTTTGTTTCATTATTTCAAAAATTACTAGAAAAGAATAGGTAAATAAATTTCTAATGACTTTAGATTGTAATAATATATTATAAAATGTCAAATAATTGTACTTTTAAAAAGGTTTAAACATGTAATATTCCAATATTGAATTCAGTGTCAGCCTGGCCTATGGGCTCATGATTGGGCCTCCAGTAAAAAATGTACAATGGGCTTCTTAACAACATATTGGAGTGATATTCAATAACTACAAACTAGAAAAATAATTATTGGTACACTCGAAATCTACAATCATTTTTAATTTATTTTTCGATTTATAGTTTTCCTAAGCCATTATTATTAGGTCACTGACCCTGGTACCACAAAGTAAAAAGTTTAGAGTCAAAATGGTTTCACAAATTAATAACCAATATGTAATAATTCGTAACCACAAATTTGAATTTTTAATTTAAGTATAACCGTATTAAGTATAATGCACCAAAGGCTTATTCTAAAACGCAGGTGGACTTATTTTGCGTATTTGGATAAGCTAGATGCGCACTTCATAATCAGTTTTTGTGTAATTGATTTTTATAATTTATCGCCTTAATAATAAGATGAAAATTAATTAGTTGTTCCTATAGGTATTAATGTGTGAGGTGTTTTTGCAATAAGAAAATTATTTTATAAAGTAGCCACACACTATCGGTTTTTGATCGGTGTACAGTGTTCGAATTACAGAACTACGACGAACACTGTACACTGAAAATGAAATTAAGTTAACCAAAGGACGTACATCATAGTATGTATTATATATAAATAAATCCAACGTAAAAACATAAGAAAATACATGAGAAAATACGTTTTCATAATAAAAGATTATATGGTGGTTATGATAAGTGACGGCTTCGTAATTTCAGGAAAAATATAAATAGTAATGTCTGGTACATACAAATATAATTTGATATATACTTTATTCATTGTATGGTTTTCCATTAATATTATTGATATCAATATTTGGAATTTAAATATTTATATAACTGAAAATGGTATTCAAAATATATGTAAGTTTGGAAGAGGAGGTGTGGGGTATAGCCCCCCACGGATCTATGATAAATAATTGTGCCCATGGAATGGAGTTTTTAAATCGTTGGACGGAGCTCCTCTGTTTAATTTTTCTCAATTCGAGATCTGTATAAATATAAATATATGTATATATTGTATATATTGTATACAAATATAATGAAAAAAGTAAAGAGGACATTAATTAAAATAAGATGATTTAAATAAGAATGTTTATTATTTTATTTCTTCTTAATAGATTAAATTTTAAATTATTCCTCTTAAATATTAAAAATGTTATTATTTGTAACTAAAAATTAATTATTATATTTCAAGATCATATTTCTATTTTGATAGGCTTATTTAAAAAAAATACGTAGTTGGAAAATATCCTTAGAATAAGAACAGATGTACAAAAAAATATAAATTGATTTTGGGCGATTAGACTTAAGTTACAAATTCCAAATTTGTGGTTACGAATTATTACGAATTGGTTATTAACCGTTGGTATCATTTTGAACACTGTACAAAATTTTTTCGAGTTTCAGGTGCTGGAGTCAACTGACCCTGGCACCTGCAAATAGAAAATTGATTTTGAATGGTTAGACTTAAGTTACAAATTCAAAATTTATGGTTACGAATTATTACGAATTGGTTACTAATTTTTGAAACCATTTTGACCCCAAAATTTTTACTTTGTGATGTAGGGTCAGTGACCTATAATAGTGACCTATTATCACATTGTGTTCGTGCATGTGATCATCAGCAATATTTATGTCAATTTTTTAAATTATTAATATTAATATTCGTCTGATTTTGATTAAGATAACAAAAATGTATAAACTAAAGGGATTATACCTAGTTCTATTATATCGCGTAAATAATATTTCAAGATTCAGATCAGAATAAAAAAATTGTAATTTAATTTAGAAAAATAATTACTATAATTTTTTATATTAGCTTGGTTGCGTTGAGCCCCTATTTTAAGAATGAATTTCAGGACCCCCGGCGATCACTGGGTATCCGGGTGAGTCATACCGAAACTATCTACATTTTAACAATATGTCTAAATAATACAGAATTAAGCTTATGTGTAGGAATAAGTACATTTTAATAAGTACCTATTATATCATACATACTAAATACATACATGCATAAAATTGAAATCGTGTACAGATATTAAATAAATGTATCTGTTACCTACCAATTAAATCGATGAAGTATTTGAAGTACAATAGTTTTGAAACTAAAAACTAAATATCAATCAAAAATTTGTTATTCCGAGTAATAATGTTTAGATAAATTAAATATGCAATGTATACAAACAAAATGACAACTACACGTTGAAATGTGAAGTTTAAATTTAAAAAAATTGAAGGCATTGAAAACAAAACACAAATTAAGTCTAGATTTAAATTCTGTAAATAAAATGTTATTTCTTAAGCCAGTACATTCAATATCATAGGGTTGACTTACCTGTGACGTAACCATGTTTTTGAAACTCGTTCCAAATAAACGGATATACATCCACATACGATGCTTTGTTTCCCATACGTTTCCTTGTATCTGGAAGTTCCAATTCCGTTCGCCCTGTATAATACGAAAACCATTATATTTAAATACATATGCATATTATTATAATATCCTTGCCTGTCAATATAGGAATTAATGCTTGCGGAGTGCCGTCACCGACAATATTGTAACCTTCTAATATGTGTGCTCCCATAGACTTAATTTTGGAATATACTTTAGGAAGTTTTCTTTGTACCATCATATTAGACAAAGAATCCAGCCCTAACATTAATACATTAAGGCCTAATCCGTCTTTTGGTACACGATCCCATCCAGCTCTGTTTATAACATCTTCATCAAAACGTATACCTGCCATTCGACTTTCCCAGCTAAAAGAAAATATAATGAAAAACTTATAATATTATATCAATAATAATAATAAATAATAAACCAGTAATTATATAGATAATGTAATAACTATGGTTAAATAATAATAATAAGTATTTCTATATTTATTATTTGCTTTTTCCCTACAACATTTAAGAAGCATTAAGTAGTATAAAATATTTATACTTATATAGTTTATCTAAATAATTAATGCAATAAACTAATAACATCTAAAGTAAAAAAAATAATGTAAAATTTGAATATATATAGTATAATCACAACATAATTCTCATTATGTAGGTAGTTAAATAAATTTGAACTATCAAGATAAAATAAAATTGAAGACACAACTAGAGAAAATACAGACCTAATTTTATTTGGATTATTATGACATAACCATAATAATTATAATTCAGTTTTAATTGTTGAGCATTCTAGTACTTATTTACAAAAGATTAATAAAATTTAAAATCTGTAAGAATTTATAATACGTATTCAAATAATATCATACAGTTATACTGTAATACAGTAACTACAATTTAACTTACAATTTTTTAAAAATTATATCTAAGTGAACGTCTCACCTATGTTGACTATTTTCTGATTCACAGTAAACCCTAAAAAAATCTGAAGTTTCTAAATTATATTCTGTGTGAGTTGTTGTCACAACTCCAACCGATGTAGAGAATTCATTGGCTCTCAAAACATCTGAGAAATATATAAAAATAAAAACAATAAAATTAACATATTTGATAATACATGACATACCCATAAATTTGCACTGAATATCTCCATACTTCTTAAGCGCCTTATCAGTTATACGCGCTATATTTCCTTTGATATTGACCCAATCCTCCTCTTCAGCGCAAACCAAAGGAGGTTCATTTTTCATAAAGCTCATCATTACTGGGTCAAATGGGTCCAAAATAGGATGAGGACATGCTATATAGTTTTCGTTTTTCAAACTTGAAATGACATAATAACAAATACATAAAAACTTTATAATACGAATGTTATCATATATTGTTAGTCAACTGCTTCTCACAGTACACAATTGCGTCATTTTAAAGACGGGACAAATCATGCATTTTCTATAGTCTAAAGTTTGGCTATCCCATAGTCAAAACATCATCAAAACATAAATAAGTATTTTATAAAGCCATTGACATGTTATAAATCGGAAAAATGAGATGTGTACGGGTACTTATGTTCTAAGTACAAATTATTATATTATTGAATAGAACCCGATTGCGTACGTTTGCTGTTTAATAATGGAAACCCGTAAAACGACATTATTGCATATGCCACCGTTTCCAAATTTATAATTATAATACATTTAAAAAAAATTGAACTAACTATTGAGGAACATTTATATTAGTAATAAACCACACTTGGGTATAAATTTACGTTTATTTTAACTTGAATAAGTTAATAGCAAATACATTTGAACGGTCGCTGTTAATTTACTGGCGTAATATGTCCTGTATGCACACAACCATTTAATTTGCCCTTTTTTTCGTTGGTGTATAAAATTATATTTGTTTAAGTCGATTAATGCCAATTCTGAACCACATTCGGACGTAATTATTTTCTTTGTTTCATTTTCCACGATTTCTATTTATTTTACCTATATCAATCTACATTCGATCTGAATAGTTGTCGGTAAACTAAAAAAAAATCTACAGTAAGTTACAATTAGTGTGAAATTTTATTTCACGATAATCATTTGATACGGTTTCCAGTTATGTCTATATATAATCTCCCAGCATGACAACATTACATAAAAATAACGTATGCAATCGTGTTATAAAAAAGGTTGAAAACCTAACCACCGCAGCCGCCCATAATCAGAATACGCAATCGTTATCAACCCATATTTTTGGAGTGGTTTGACGAGCTGCTCCGCCCACGTTAATCGGCACATTGATAAATTGAACCACTAAGTCAGCAATTTAATAAGATCATACCGAATGCCCTACTTCAGAAAAAACTGAAAGGACACCATGGACTGACTGTACATAATCACAAGTGTTAATTATGTGTATGATAATTATAAAACAAGATGGAAATAAAAATAAAATTAAAGTGCTTATACATGCAAACAAAAATCAGTCAAGCCCACAAGCATAAGTAGCTAAAGTATATGGATAGTACTAGTAACTAGGAGATGTTATAATATACCGAAGGTATATAATAATATAGCATAAAATAGATTTAAACAATACCAAAATAAAATATTGTTGTAGTTATTTAACTAGTTTATTAACTATTAAGTTATTTAAAAGTGTATTACAAATTAAATATGCATAAAAAAAATACAAATTAAATCAAAATCAAAAAATACTTGGTAAACGGCAAAAAAACTTCAATTTCTTCTAATTTATTACTGCATAGTATTAATTAAGCCAATTTTATTATACGAATGTTATTTTTATATTATTTATAACCTAAGACAATTTTTACGTCACTGATCAAAACAATCAGTTCACTTTTCAGTCACAAAACAAATATATTAATATAATAGTAAATAGTGGACACAAGCCGAATGTTTAAAATCACACATTACACTCTGTATTTAATAATTGGATGATCTTTTTTTAAAAAAGTAAATTAATTTTAAATTATCAAAATATCCATGCATGTAATAGTGACATACATATACCCATGTTAAAATAAATTTAGTCTTCAAAAATTAAAATCTAAATTTAACACAACTCGATGGTAAATTTAAACAAAATGAATACCCTCATATATGTATAATATCAAAAAGTCCTTTGAGCATACAACTTAAATCGATGAAAGTTCATTTATTTGTCATAATAGTCTAAATGCATGAACATATTTTTCAAAACACGGATGTGCCTAGTACAGTACTACCTATAATGCACTACTTATGAAAAACGCACACGCTACTTTTGTTTACAAAATAAAATTGACTGCGATTTGTGGCTCTTAAGCCGAATATTTTATGTTTACATATATTTATAGAAAGTCATAAAAATAACAATAGTAAACTAATACAACCGATGTACAGAAGAATGAATAAGCTCCCAAGAGACAACGAAGTCAATCTAAAATGCATAATAAAATTTGTAAAAAATTCATAAAAATTCAAAATTCATAATTTAATTTTGAAATATCAAACTCTCCGCTATGGACAAATCAAAAATATCTCTAAATACATCATTAACCTATTCTAAAAATAAACTTACAACATCAATCATTTATAAAAAAATATTTTATGAAATATCTAATTGAAGAGCTTCTTAATTACGAGTATAATCATATCTATGCCGGCGCATCAAAAACTGAAAAAATTACTGGAATAGTCATTATTGCTCCTAATTTCCTACTAAAAAATAAAATAAATGCAGATATTTTCTTCCGAAATTTTAACAATATACTCTGTCATAAAATAAATAAAAAGTTCTTGACTATCATGTAATTAAATTATATTCACTGACTCCGTAAAATGTTTAAAAATCATAAACCCAAGAAAGTGAAGAATTAAACATATTTTTTTTAAATAATAATTTTAATATGAATAATATTATGATCACAAATTATTCGAATACATGTTTATTCGAATAATTATCTAGATAAAATGTTGACCAACTCTGCTGTACCTACTGCTAATTTGTAAAGTATCAGGAAATTATTTATTAACATATAACCAGTTTTTTTGTCATATTTTAATACATTTATAAATATTGTATATTAATATTAATTGTTTTTATTTTAACGGTTTTTAATATCCAAATTCATAAAATGAATGGACAGAAATTTAAGGTAAGTCAAGTAAAAATAATATTTTCTTAATTCTACTATTTTTGATTTTAATATAAGTTAGAAAATATCAAAAAAAAAAAAACAGTAATAATAATGTAATACAATTTGTCAGCATCACTTTTAATTATAAGCGTATCCAGTGTAATGATAATTGTGGGTTGTGACCCCTTCAAAACATATAGTTAACTTAAAATTAAACCATTTCTCACCCTCATACATTTCGAAATGAAATGAAACCTAAATAAATACTAGTTAATCCATTGGTAGTTATAGATGTTCATATACCCTCTACTATTTTTATGATTACAACCTGGAAAAACTTATATAATAATTAACTTTTAACTAAATAAGTATTAATTATTTTTAATGTTAAATATTAAATATGAAGTAAACTAATTTACTACCTAGTTTACCAATGGTTATTAATAACTGAGATGTAAATATTAAAAAATATGGTCTAATTTTGCCCAGCCTCGTAAATATTGTTATAAAAATGTATATCAACTATTCTATAACCAAGATAAAAAATATTTATAAATCTTTTAAATTTTTACAAACCGAAGTTACCAATCAGAAATGATGTAACCAGTTGTAGTATCTCTAGAATAATACTCTTACTCTTCTTTTGTTTTCTTAATTTGATGTTCATGCTATTATAAAATATAAACATAAAAATCAAATGGAACAAAGGAATCTAGTACAACATAGAAAATAAAAAAAAGGTAATTGGCTGATTTCAGTAATAAAAAACATCACAAACATGCTATATTTAAACATTAAATTCTTAATAAAATGTAAAATATGAATTAAAATTAATAACAAATAAAAGCTTTCAAGAGATAAATGCATAACATATGTATAATGTATATGTATATAATTTTTTTTTAAATATGCTATAAAAATAAAAATGAGAGCTTTGAACTATAATTGCTAACTAATATTATTATTAACTATAATTATTTTTCTTCTTCTAACAACTATATATTTTTATATTATACTCAATTTAAAAAAAAAAAAAATAATTATTATTCTTAAAAATCAATACTCCATCCGGTTATATTTGAATATTTAATTTCAATAGTATAAATTTAGATAAACTAATAATTAATGTCATAGCCACTTAATGAAATTGAGGATTTCATGAAATAAAAATGGCTTTTTCACACTTCGTAAAATACTTAAATATTTCATGATATTTAACCTTTTCATGAAATTATCACTCCGATTTGACATAGTGTAATTTTTTTCACAATTTGGTCGTTCACTTTGTGTACCAAAAATATATTTTATATTTATCATAGTTTTATAATCATTTTTGTTTATCTTTGTTTATCAAATTTTGTAATATGATGAAGTAGCATCTAATTTACTCACGATTTTTTTTTAAAATTTGATGCACTGAAAGGTTTATAAGGTGATAACGGACAAGAAAGGCACGTGGGGAGGAATAAAGGCAGTTTCCCAAGGCCCCGCGCCTTAAAATTATAATAAAGGTCTCGCTGTTCTGTTCAACTGAACTTAAAATATTTTATTAACAGAAATTATAAGATCCAACATTTATTTTGCCCAGGCCCTCGCAAACTCTAGCACCGTCACTGATAATGGAAGATAGTTTATAAATTCTGTAATTAATGAAATCAAGGAACTTTGGCCGGTATACATTTTTGTACATGGAAGATCAAGACATTCTCAGAGTCAAAGAAGTATTGAACGTAGCAACCAGAATGTCGAAAATATGCTTTGATCATGGACGAAGGACAATAAATTTAAAAAATGGTCTGTGGAATTGAATTTTGTCCAATTCCAGAAAAATTATTCAAACCACCACATAATTGGTAATTTGTATTATAATACTCATAATATGAATAAAAACTGTTTATTTATCCACATTTAATTTAGTAATTTGGCGCTCCTAAACCACGACTTCTGGAGCAAGTGTCCCGGTTTGCTCTCCTTAGATCCGGTCCTATATTTAGATTATTTAGTAATATTTAATATTTAGTATTAAATTTAAAAGTTATATTTTTATATATTATTACGTGATATTCAAATTGTATTCTTATAAAAAATAATATTAATAAAAATAATATTTTATTTATTTCTAAAATCGGAACTATTGAATAGTTATTTTAGTTCAAAGCCCTCAATTAATAATAGTAACAATAAAAAATAAAATTACTTTTTAATAGGTTCTTGATCGTTTGATGATTTAATTATTTCAAGTTCGATTTGTTTTCTAAAAACATACAAAAACTAAATAAATATTTATACATTATTTAATATAAATAATTTTTAACAAATATAATACTAAAAGAGTATTCATTTAAAGTAAATAAATTTTATATTTATTAATTGAAAAATTTAAATTAACTATAGAAGAATATAAGAAACTGTCTTATTCAGTACATAATCTTCTTGATAACATTTTATATATTGTTAATTATAATAATAAGCAAAAAAATTATTACAATAGGTTTTTAATTAAATTATGTTTAAGGTTAGTTTATCAATTAAATAACGTTATATGATATATAGTTACAGAATGAGTCAGAATGAAAAACATTACAGTCGTTGCCAGATAAACTGACACGGCGGTGGCGGCGGCGCTTTTCGGTAAGTGTATCCAAAACACGGTTATCTACTCAATAGGGTGGGTCGAAAAAAAATAATTTTTTTATTTCGGTATTGCAATTGTGCGTCAAAGTTGCAGTTTGGTATCCTAAATAAAGGGAAAATAATTAAAAAAAAATCTAAGTTGATTTCTCTAGTTAACTTATCTTAAAGTGACTTAAAGTTTGAAAGAACAGTCAAAAATTAAAAAATTTACAACTTCAAAAAAATTATAAAATGTATTGGTCATTAAAATAACAGTACAAAAATCTATGGTTATTTTTTAAGCATCTTCAGAATGTATTGGCATTATTTTAAATTCTTTTTTTTTTTTGTAATTGGATGACGCCATTGCTGATCTTGAAAGCAACGTTGTCCATATAAAAACGTCTTTGTTTTTTCCTCCGCATACTTTTGTAGAAGACTACGTGACCATCTCTACGATTGCTTCTACACTTTGAGTGTAACATGAAAATTTAATAAACTCGAACTCTGTTATAACTTTTCTATGAAGAAACTATTTAAGACTATCTATAAGAACATTTTCCATCATTGGAGGAGACAAAAGTTTACAGTTAGTCGAATCAATAAATTCATTGTAGCCTGAAGCTTTAAAGTTAATGATTGGGGGTAGAAAATGTCTCACCGATTTTACTTAAAGTATCTGCAATCTGGTTTTTAGTAATCTTCGAAAAGCTAGCTCCCTTATATGGACATTCTCATCTATTTCCATTGCTAACAACATATTTTCGGGGTGATAAAAAAAAAGCATTCTTCTGAATCACAGAATCAATTATTTGACGAAAACTGTCGGGCATATGTCGTGTCATTTGTATAACTTTGAATATATGAGTTGGTGAATACTTCACCTAATGATTTCTCTTAATATCAAACCATACTGAAGCGTACATCTTCATAATGTAGCTAGTCAGCGTCTTAAGCTCATAGAAAGGTTTAATTTCAGAAATGTAAAGTCTTAAGACTCTATTTGCACATGTTAACCACCTAGAATGATTGTGAGTACCTGAATCTCTCACAACAAGATTAGGCATTCCCTCTCCTGTCTTAACAGAATTTTAAATATCAAGTAAGTATTTTGGGTCCTAAATTAGCAACTAGAAGCTTTTCGCAGTAAGCCAACTGCTTACAAATTTTCCCAAAAAAAAACATGTTGGTCCGGTTGTTTTATCATCTAAATTTTGAAACAAATGTCCATAAGGAAGTTCGTTAAAATGTAGTAAGCATATAAACCACTGCAAAGGATAGCCCATTTTAACCTCGATATTACGGATAGTACCGTTTTTCCATCCAGTATTTGTCGCTGTCCCATCAAAACAATCAATTGTTCGAAGTCTAAATAGCACGTAATGCTCTTAGCTATTTCGCTTTTATTTCCAATTGTTGACATGAAATGGTCCATGTATTGTTCACCAGGCTTTGGAACCAAACTGATATGTTCTTTTTTCTTCAACTTTCGATACATTTTGTTTTTTTTTTTTTTTTTGAAAATATGTATCTTCTTTTCGACCATCAAAATATACTCCCAATATCTTTGTATTTGGACTTTTTGTTTGTAAATAGTCTCGAATTTTAAATTTTTCTCTTCTGACCTTATTCTTATCTATTACTAGTGAATGATTTCCTTTATTTATCATTCCAACATCTTGTAAAAGGCAGGATACAATAGCAGCTGTAGTAGCTCTATCAGATAATCCATATATATCGCTTATTAAGGCAATAGCATAAAGTTAAACATGTATATTTCAGATGTTGACTGTAAATTGACACAGATTTTTCATTACTTTTGATTTGAATTTTTTGAACAGTATTTATTGGAGTTTAACTAACGTTCATATTTGGTACAATAATCTGGTTTTTCTCTTGTATTTGTTTCCTTTGATCTCTTTTCATTATTCTTCTAGTTTCGGCCGCATCCAAACTACCTATACATTTCAAACGTCTAGTTCGTACATAAACTCACTCTCAATTTTAGGATTTTTTTTTTCTTTTTCACAGGCACATTTCATAAATATCTTACAATCACAAGATATAGGTTTTTTTCCATGTGTGCATTTAAATTCCATAATACACTTACAAAATGCCACATTAAAAAGTTTATCCTTTGCTTCACTTACATTTTCTGATTTTGACTGTTCTTTCAAACTATAAGTCAGATGCGCGAATATAAGAAATCAACTTTTTTTTTTTAATTTTTTTTCCCTTACATAAGATGTCAAACTGCAATTTCACCGCACTACTTTATTATGGATGTTTTAGCAACGGAATATGTAATTTATTTAAATTTTTATGAATTCATCACAAAAGTTACGTGGCGGTTTGGTCAAAGTCAAGTGAGACCCAACAATAGGTCTCACGGTGCTCAACGTGTTAAGTAAAGGAAAGCGTTTAATAAATGTTCAAGCTGGAGGAGAAGAAGGTTTCGTTCCTAATTCTTTACTAACATGAGAAGCTCAAATTTCTAATGGTAATAATATGAATAAAGATTATTATTATAAATGGATCACAGAAAAATTACTACTTAATTTAAGTAAAAATTCAGTTGTGGATAGTGCGTCTTATCATTGCCATCAATCTAGCCGTGCTCCAAACTCAAATAGCTTAAAAAAGGACATGATCAATTGGTTGATTGAAAATAACATAAGTTTTGATTCAAATATGCTAAAACCACAACTTTACGATATAATACGTAAACACAAAAAGTGTCGATTGAATATTCTTTGGATAGTACCTATATTAAATGAAGGCCATGATATTATTAGACTACCATCGTGTCATCCAGATTTCCGGTCACAAGTAAAACAGTACATTGCAAAACAAAATCATAGCGGTAACATCAAAAAAATTTGTCAAACTGTGTAAACAAAAAATTGAATCTATGAGGAAAATTTGAGTGAAAAGCAGTTTATGAAAACGTGAAAAGTTGGAAGCAGAAATGTGAAAAAATGAAAGTTATATGGATATTAAAATCGATAATTTAATAATATCGTACGGAGAAGATAGTACAATTGGAGACACCGATACAAGTAGATTGAATATGAAGAATATGATTTAGGTGTAACCCCATTACAGCCATAACAATTTTTAATAAGATTATTAATTGTATATAAATGTTATTTTTATTATTATTATTAATTAATACAATTTTTATTTTTTATTATAAAATAAAAGAACATTATCAGAATATATGATTTTAAATTAATAACGTAAAATCAGTTATAAAATATTTTACGACTATTATTGGTTTATATTTATATATTTTCGGTATTAATATTCAAATACGGAGAATCCCTGGTTTTTCGTTATCTCACCGCCGCCACCGCCGTGTAAATTTATAAATTTAGACTAAACAATATTTGTGCTGGTAGTACAATATATTGGAACTTTAAAATTAAACTCATTCAACACAAGAAATTTGGAAAAAAGTAACATCTATACACATTGTGATAAACACCTTGTTTATATTTATATAAATATATATATATACAAAGCTATCACTGTTAATTTCATTGTAAAACAATTCAAACCATTTTAAAAACAAAATATAAAATCAAAATACGAGTAGGTTATTAGGACCTACTTTGAATCTATAAATAAACATTTAATAAAGATTTTTTCTATCGGTAAAATATATTGTGAAACTTATATTCAACTGGAATTCATAAAAAATAATAAAATTGGTACTATATTAATCCACTAGATAAAATACTTAAATGTTTGTGGATATTTTGATTAATTTTAATAAATAAGGATTTTATCATTAAGTTAGGTATATAAAATTATTCTTTGCGAGAATCTTATAATACTTATGTTCTATTAAAGTTTAAATACAAAAACAATAAAATAAAATGAAAATTAGTGAACAATTATGTAATTTAAAGTATTAAGATGTTAGTATAATCAGTTACAAATTAAAAATTCACTATCAGGTAAATCATTAAGTTAAAAAATGTACGTCTCTTTGAAAATAAATACATTTTTTGACTTATTGATGTACATGATGATTCATTTTTAATTTGAAATTGATCGTACAATACACATATCCTAATACTCCAGACTATGTATTTATTTATTAAATAATTTCAAATTTTACATACAGCATAATTTTTCTATCTGACATGTCATAGTATGAATTGTTACGAGTCATTTGAAAAATCGAATAACCCATAATTCCTAGGAAAATGAAGATGCATACGCGCCGGACTACAAAAGAAGGAGCTCGTACAGTAACCATCTTCAACTGTAAATCAACAACACTTTAAATTATTAAATAATAATATATATCAACAAATTTTAAAATTAATGATTAAAAATATATTATGAGCAAGCATTTTAAAGGTACATGTTTATTATACAATTGTTGAATAATTTTATTAATTTTTTTTAACAATAAATTATTGATGAAAAAACAATAACCAAAAGAGATTTATTTTCATACTTGAGAGTTCATACCGATTAATTTAAATAAAAACTATTAAAGCTAATTTGCACAAAAAACTATAAAAAAATGTTTATAAAAATATAGGTATATGGAAAAAAAATTTAACTAAAACAAGCCGATATTATAGACATTGTATTGTAGTCTACAATTGACGCAATGTATCATCATTCTATATTTAAAATTTGTAAATATAGATTGATGATACAACTATAGTAAGTGCAAACTGAAATTCATCACAACTTAATGCACTTATATTCCAGGCTTTGAAATTGAAAAATCAAAAATCAAATTTTTAAAATTCTGAAAATAACCTCTGACAGGTTAAATCAGGAGCGTCATTTAGAATAAAACCATAGGGTAGCAACATTGGCAACCCAAATGGAGGAGGGCTAATGAGCTTTAGCCCACTCCCACCCCATCCCACTAAGACCATGTGAATTCTAAAAAATAAAACTAGTTAACATTTAACACTGTGAACGTTAAATACATAATACACAATAAAATATTATGAAATATTGAGCATAATTTACAAAATTGACCTCTAGAAAACGTGTCCTTAGAAGAATAAGTCTTAGTAAATTGTTCTTAAAAGTTGATAAAAATACAACAATCAACGATCAGTGACTATGTGGTATTTTTATTTTATATATATAGATAGATTAAGATTATATTTGAATAATTTCTGAATAAAACAATAAAATGTTACATAAATTTCTCGTGGGGTGTTATAGCTATTAATTTGCTACCACAATAAAAATGGTGTGGTAGCAATGGCTACCCCTCGCTACTCCGTATTGACGCCTATGGGTTAAATAATTAAGTGCCTTAAACATATTATCAAATTCTGAAATAAATAATAAAATTGCAAGTTCTTGAGATTATAATTTTTTAAATTGCAACCAAATCACTGAAATCAGATATTTCATTAAAAAAACGAGTTTACCTCGAACCAGGGCCGGCACAAGAAAAATCTGACGGGGTGGGGGTGGGGGGTTTGTCATACCAAAATTGCTGACTCCAAATACCATCTTTGCCGACTCGAAAAAAAATTTAACTCCAGAGCAATAATAACAAATACAATTCTAAATTAATTTTTTCCTGTAAATCAAATACATGTTTTGCATGTTTAATCTAAAAACAAATGCAATATATATTTAATTATATGTATATTATTATTTATCATTATATTTATTGATAAAGTATCTGTAAGAATGTGATTTTTGTTAAAATGTTTGTAAAAGTAAAAAGTAAAAAAATTAAATTAATAATTCCACTTCTGTGGATGAATATTTTTTTCCACGACTGGTTGCAACAAGTTTTTATATTCTATAAAATATTATAAAAATAATAACAATGTTTCTACGATTGTCAACTATATATTTATACGGTGTACTTTAAGGGTTGCTCAACTTTCTATCATTGTTATCATATCAATCAAATCTAGAATATCCTTGAATGAGTTCAGTACCATTAGATTTTCTAATCGTTCGTCAGTCATTGTTTTTCGCAAATGATTTTTTACAAACTTAAGAATACTGAGTACTTCGTTGGTCGCTGTAGAGGTTATTTATATATAAAGGTTTTGTCAAAAAAATTCTGTTTGCCGAAAGTGCTGACTTTTATTACGATTATTCGATGACGTGGTGTCACAACCCCTCAAACGCCATTTCCCTCCGACCGTGCTTCGAACCCTTGGTTTTATCTCGTTTTAATCGGTTTTCTTGAAACCCGAGTGGGCACTTCCAGCAGACTATAAAAGTATATTTCACTATTGAATATTATTTGGTATGAAAATTCCAGTTACCGATCTAGGAAGACAAGGAAAAAAAATCTATTTGAACCTTTCTAATCAGAAGTGAAAAAATTAGATTTGTACTTGGAAACTAACAGGAAAAAAAACAAATGGGCGTACCGAATTGGGCCCCAGATAATATTTATAATAAAGATATACAACTAATTGGGTCCAAAAGTTAATAGATTTGAGTTTGTAAAAGCTCTATTATTTAAATTGCTAACAATTGTATACATTTTTAAATTTTTTAATAATTTAATTATTTATTTACCATATACCTGTAATATTATTTTTAATTAAAAATGTATATACCATATATTATAAGTAGAGCGCAGATTATTATGCACTTAATAGTATCGAAATATGCCATATAATATGCAGTAAAAATCATGAAAATATGCAAAAAATATGCAGTCAAAATCATGAAAATATGTAAAAAAAATATGCAGTTAAAATTATGAATATGCAAAAAATATGCAAGAATTTTTTATTTATTTAAATTTATTTATTTATTTATTTAACTTATAATAATTAATTACATAAATAATTAATACAAAAAAATTTAGGGAATTTTCTTAACTTAATTTCTTTTTTAAATTTTATTTATTATTATAATGAATAATCATATGCATTTCAAGTGTATCTTTTGTGAAGCTGTGTCGTTTATCGATTAACATATTTTTAAAGACTGAAAACGAACATTCGATGTCAACCGAAGTTATTGGGGCATATTTGAAGCAAGTGGTATGTCGATAACCGACTAACACAGCAAGAGCGATTAAGTTTACGTTGTAATCGATTATTTATTTTATAACTAAATATATATATACAAATTATTATTTAGTGACTATGAAATTTAGTTTTAATTTTTCTACTTGACAAAATATTATTTTATACATTTTTTTTTTTTAATTTTCACTTCAATATGCAATAAATTTTGAATTTTGCCAAAATATGCAAAAATATGCAGAAATATGCAAAAAAAAAAATGTCACCATTAGCTTCAAATTACGATGATTCGTGGAGATAACTGACAAAAATCCAAAAATATTGAAAGGAAAAAAAATATGCAATTGCATAGAAATCCGCGTTCTAATTATAAGGTTTAAAAAAAAATCATACCTGTGTTCTAATTTATAGGTAACTGACAGTCCTAAGTCCTGTAAGAATGAGAAGCGAATTTTTTTTTTTTTTTGTATGGACCTGACTAGTGTATTAACTGAAAAACTCTAGGACCTAAATAGACAAAATAAAGGTCTTCAGGACCCGACTAGTAAACGCCGAAACGATTACGTATCCCATTAAATAATAATAGGTCCTGTCGATAATCGAAGACGACGTACAAAAGACCAGACGGATGTAAAATAGAAACGTTTCATCCAGCGCATTTTGTCTGAACGCACTCGACAATCGAAATCACGGTACACGCGTGCCCCTCCAACGTTCCGTGACCCGGGGGTAGAAAAGTCGTGCTCCGTCGCAGGGATGATAAAACCCAGGTTCTGCTTTGCCACATGCACGCGCGCGCAATCGGTCGGCTAACGCGAGAACGCGAAAACAAATATTACCCCCGTACGTTCTGATACATGATGCTCACATGCTAATTGCGTTTGGACGCGATCGATTTCCCGCCCGGCATCGGAGACGAGAACTGCAACGGTAAAATGCAGCGTGCGCAGAACCCACGAGCTACCGAAGTTAATGCAACAATACACCGCGCAATCGTTATCGCCTTACATTGGTTTTGGTTGTTTTTTTTTTTTTTTCTCCGCCTATCAGCGGCGACGATCCTCCGGAACGACGTGCATCAGCAGCAGGGTACGCGCCCCCGACGGTGTTGGATGTTGATCCGCGGACGAGAACGTCGGGGCGAACTGCGACCGGCACGAACGATAGGGGTGCAAACGCGTTGTCGCCAAACGCCGACGACGGCCGAACGGGTTATCGAGCAGAAGCGGACGCGACGCCTCGGATGACGGCGGGTTGAATGGAAACCGACGACCGGCGGCGCACGGACCGTGTCCCCGGAACGCGCGTCGCGCTACTACCACGGTTGTCAAGCATCAACTGTCTCGCGTCCGTCTATAGCCGGGTTGAAGTCCGCGACGCCCGCGTCTTGCCGCGCCGCCCGTGTTCGAGCGCCGCAACTATAATCAAAGCGTCGTCGTCGCCGTCGGTGGTGCAGAGCGCCAAAGCTCCGAGATAATGTTATCTATAACCCTTGGGCGCGGCGGGGATGGTTTTTAACTTTTATCAGACGGCAAAATTATCACCATTATTATTATTATTATTATTATTATTATTAACACAGATTTATTGTTCACCCGGACGACGACATGTTTTGCAACGTGTACCGCGCGTGAATACCGTACGCCGTTACATGGAGAGTTGATTGCAGAAAACTGGACGATCATCTATGGGATAACGAAATCTATAAAAAATGTTTCTGATCCGTGTACTGAATTCGTGTCTGTTTCGCGTTTGCGGGGCGAACGTTGAACGTCGAATATTGCCGAGTTCGGGGCTTGGTTTAAGGTTTAGAAAGGTTAGAAGGTTAGAAGTGCGCAAAACTTAAAACTCAACCCCCTCCCCATACTCTCAACATAATCACTCCCTGTGTATGATTTTAAGCCTCACTGCGGTCGTGCAATAATATTGTGATAATAAAATAATAATAATAATAATAACACAGTCTTAAACCTAAACCGATGATTGACGGAACCTGCACCCGACCATGAAGACGATAACTACAATTCATTGTTGTGAGAAATTTTATTTATAGATAGTATTTACAATTGCGTATTTTTTGATTTACAGCTGCGCATTTTTCATTTAAAGTTACGCAAAATGTGTTCAAACGCTCGTTAAAATAAACCCTGGCTGAGTTACGTTTCGATGTATCGGAATTAAATCGTTCAATCGAATTCTGCCGTCTCCTGAGCGTAAAGTAAATATCTAGTATAGCCGTGTACAATTTTCCACATTTTGTAGGGAATTTTCATAGGGTGACAATTTTTTTCTCAAAATAATCAATGGTAACATAGTATGATGATAATATTTTACGTTCGCTCCGCATAATTATTAAAATTAATTGCAGGTAAAAAAAGTAAATGTCGATAATATGATGAGTTACAGTCTTTTATTACCTATAATCAAATTTAATTACCGTGCTTTACCTAATTGTATTTTTTTCATAATTGAAAAAAATATTCTTTTGACAGTTAATTGTGTTTCGCCCAGTCTCTCAAAATATTAGCAATTAGGTGACTAAATATTTTCACTGGGCAACATTTGTATAAACCTAAGTTTAAAGTTACAGTAGTTTAAAAAGTGCATTGGCCGTATAGGTACTGTAGTGACGTAATTATATCGATCAGTTAGAATAAATTAATAATATATATTTATAGGTTTTATGATAATAACAGTTATTATAGGAAAATAATACGTCTAAATTATTAAAACAATTTGGTGCATTTTTTTTTTTTCAATTAATTTTTGACAACTTATACAATAACATGTATGTATTAAATATTGCGTAAAAATGCGTAGTTTTTTAGTGATTTAAAAACGAAAAATTATGTTTTTGTGTTAAATTAGACAATGTTCTATAGAGAAAAATAATAAAAAAATAAAGTACCGTAATCCTTTTGAAAACAATATCGTCGGTTAAAAGGCTGTAAATGGACATTTGCTAACTAGCGTTGTAGACGAGGCTCTACTGGATCCATAGATAGTTTTCATTATAGTGTATCATAATTTTATAATAAGTCATCGATGATCAAATTTAATGCTGTAAACGACAAGTATGAAAAAAGTGTGTAAAAGACAACATTTGATGTAAATAACATTATTATTAATTGAATGAGTAATAAGTGACGTAATAATTTTATGTTAGGCACCCAATTTTTTTTTTTTTTTTTTTATAATGACGTCTTGCTGTGCAATGGAATATTTCAGCGATGTTCATACAACACTATTTTGAAACATGTAATGTTACATTTTATGTCACATTCGCGTAATTGTTATATGTATGAAACTGCTTATGTCCCGAGAATAAAACTGCAATAGTAATGTGGATACCAAGTTATTGAGTAATTGATACAACAAATTATCAATGAAAACATAAAATAATATTTGATGAAGTTATTTATTTCCAATAATTAAAATATTTTTAAAAACGTAACCAAGTAAATACAATTATGATCAACAAAATTTGATTATTTCCTACATTATGCGAAAATATACCCAAAAATAGCAATATAAACCCTAAATTAGCAAAATAGCAATATAAGCTGTAAATATGCAAAAAATAAATTAAATTTCGTGTATGATATCCGAGAAGTGAGAAACATATTTGTTTATTACTTTGGATGTTCTAGGATGAACCAAGAAAAATATGCATTTGCTAGAACTTCCGAGTCCTGCTAATAACTAACAATGACTAGAGAGGGAAATTGGTAGTGAAAACATAAACAATAATGATAATTTTCGAAAACCGACTGTCCTGGATTTTTCTATAAATAAATTATATTTTATTTTTAAAAATTAAAAATTGTTCTTAATTTAGTTACATTGTAATATCGCTTCAAAGTTACACAATTAACATCTAGGTCAAGATACTTATTGACAAATAAAACATTATTTTTAAGAAAATGCTATGGAACATCGCATTAATGTTAAGAGGACACCACACCACCAGAAAAACATGTACAAAAACGTGTTTACGCGTTTCAATATTACGGTTTATTAAGTAGTTTTAGAGAAAAAAAACCTAATACAAAAGTTGTAAAGAACAATATTTTGGAGATAATGACATAGCCTTTTTTTTAAATTATCTCTAGGAAAAAAGTTACAAGCATTTGAAAAAGTAAAAAATTGGTTTTTTTTGTTTTGATCATAGTTTGTTAAATACTGAATGTATAAAAAAAACGGATATGTCATTATCTCTAAAATTTTGTTCTCTACAACTATTCAATTAGGGTTTTTGCTCTAAAATCACTCAATGAGCCAAGTTTTTGAATCTAAAAATTCTTAAAACTAAGATTTTACGTAAAAATAAAATTATATTATGGACGACGTGTGCTGCTCTCATTTCTAAAGGCAACTTTATTAATCCTCTCCTTGCTACGACGCACGACGTTTGCATCGACAGCCGGCAAAAACAGATCTGTTATCGGTATTCCGTAGGCCGAAGCCCGCAACTAATAATAGCTTATAGCTAAATAATATTATATTAGTCAATATAATAATATTATTTTATTGTACTATTATTATTTTTGGTGAGCGACAGCTTGTATAATAGCGGCAAACCGCCGAATTCTGACATGCGTAAAAACTTTGTTTTTTTATTACAAAATATATTTTTGTTTACGAAAAAAAAATCTTTCATACAAATTATAGAGTATACTGAAACTTACTAAATAGTATAGAGCAATTTATTAGGATCGATTCTAGATATATTTAATATGTAAAGCTAATTATTTTATACCATATAAAAAGTTGGTTTTTTACAAAAAACTATGTAGATTATTTTCAAAATAGTTCAATATAGTATACATGGAACAATATGATTTCAAGATTTTGTTATATTTTTTTAACATAAATTTAAATTGAAAATTCAATTTTTATGAAACAATTATGAAATTTTTTTATAGAAAAGAATTTCTGTGGCTTGAAGCCGAATCTTCAGAGATTATATTATACGAGTACACTTATAGTATATAATATGGTATATCTAAATCTAATACAACTAAAATATTGGCGATCAAAAACTTTTATGTTTGAGTCGGTCAAAACAACGTAACAAGAAAAAGATTGGCTAAACCGCAGAAGTACCCGTTTCAGCTTATTAATTTTGATTTTCTATACACTAGAAGTTTATTATATTACCTACTTCTATTTTTTTCAAAATAATTTTATTATTATTACTGCATGTAACACCTTCAACTTAATGTATATTAAATTTCATAATGACTTTTGTCCCGTAAATTTGTAAATAAAATATAGGTATTGTTAAATAAAAAAAGATATAGTTTTCCGTTTTTACAGGTCCCCTTAAATTATTAAATTAGTGAGGCCCTAAGACGGGTATCTACTCCGCCTAATGGTTAATCCGGCACTGCACGCAGTATTTGTTTATCTGTACTCGAATCACTCGTACCTGTATTTCGGCTTTTGTCATCCATGGCTGCAAAAATGTTATGAATAACGACCATTATCCACCACACACGGTCCATATCTTTATCAGTAAATAAATACTGACGACCAAATTTTTCATCAGCATCAATAGGGCTTGGAAGATGATGCATTTTGCATATTTTTTGGAACTTTATGGATGATGCTCTCTTGGTTACAAATGTGTTTCATTTCATTAGCATGTGAATCCGAATAACTAATTTTTATTATGCATTTTTTTGAATTTTTTGGTGTTTATTATTTTTTAAGTCTTTTTTTAGATTTTTAGTCATTTTTACTGACTTCACACTAATTCACTTCTTATCGTTCATTGTCGATCATTATATCGATAACTTAAGACTTGTCCGACTTTATCATGCCGATTACATTCACCGTATCGTGTTGTAGTGAATTATACTTATTAAATCTAAATTTTATTATTTTTTCGTAATATTTTCGAAATGGCGAAAATTAAAACGTCGGTTTTAGTGCTCATCTGCGTCTCCCAATCACTTCGGTGGATGTAGAGAGAAGTTTTTCCAAATATTGATAAACAGATAATCGTCATTCATTTACTTCTGATAATATAAAATACACTCTAACTGCCCAATGCAATCCGGAAATAGAAAAAAACTACAGATATGTTATTGGAATTGTTAATCATCTTAATAATTTAATCGTGTTAATTATCCAATATTCATTATAGTTAAGTCATTCATAAATTATTGAAGACTGAAGTTTCTAAACGCTTTATACGGTAGTTAACATAATTATAATTCCTACTAACTTTTGCGTTTCAGAAATATTATATACAATGCAAATGTATATTACACTTGTATAAAATGTTGGAGATGATGAAATGGCACAATCAAATTTTAATGTAGTTTTTAGTCTCTTTACTTATAATTAA